CTTATAGTAAATAAGTAAGTATTTATTAATCAAAAAATCCTTTATAATTAAAAAGTAAAATAAGATTTGAGAAACAAGTTATTTGTTTATATAAAAAGTAAGAGATCTGCTTTACAAAAATAAAGATAAAATATTTGATATACTACAAAATATATGAAAACTAAATCAAATATATTAAGTCTATAAGTAATATTGATGATTAATTAGTAAGAACATTAGTATATAACAAGATTAATATTTTTCTTTTAATATTTCTAATGTAAACTTATATCAGAAATTCTTCAAAATTAAGAAAATCTACATATTATTTATAGAAGTAAAAATAGATAAAATCTGAGTAATTACTTATAATATAAATGTAATTTTAAACTTAAAAAATAATCAGTTCTAAAATATTATAATAATTTTTGAAAAAGGCTGACAATACATATGAGGTTAGTATTATAAATTATAACACATACATAACTGATTATTTTTGAAATAAGTGTTTCTCAATTACATCTATTTCTATTATTCATATCTTTAATTCTTCAGGTGAATCTCAAATTGAAGAGAGTGAAGTATGATATGATAAAGGGGAATATTATTATAGAGATGATGACACATATAATAAAAAATGCTATTATAAAAGATATTATTATTGTAATATAAGATATAAGAGAAAGTTTATCAATGATGAGTCAGATAATCTTTCTAGTATATGTTTAGAAAATAACAGATAATATGATCTAGTCATATGAGATTGATTATCTAAAATATATAATTGTATAATTCTTATTCATTAGTTCATATAAATGATATCTGCAGAATATACTATATATAGTAATATGTTACTAATATTTACAGTTATTATTTTTAGAAGATCTATTAATAATCCTAGCTAAGAGAATTATTTTTGTATTATTTTCTATTATATACTTTAAGAAAGTTCTGGTATATTTTATTTCACATATTAGTTTTAAATTACTAATAAAAAATATATTTCTCACAGATTGTGAGGTAGAGCATCATTAAAAAGAATTAAAAATGAAAATTAAATGATTAGAATCTATGATTTACAAAACTACAAATAAATGGTAAATTTTAATTATCTTATTTTTATTAGCACAATTAATTACATGTATAGCTAATTATATATTAATCATTTTTGAATAGAAATTAGTAATATATTTTATCTTATAATGAACTTTTTATAATAATAGCATCCATTTTATAAAATGAACTTTTTATTTAGACTGAAAAATTTAAACAAAGATGCATGATTTTTTACCACATACTTTGCATCTAATAAAGCTAAAAAATGTATGTAATGATGTGACTCAGATTTTATAAATAGGATAAGCTACAAATCAAAGATCAAGAAGATGGTAAATTTTGAGATATAATATTTTTCTATTAGTATTAGATTATGAAATGTAATGCAAATACTCCTTTTTGTTACTGTATTAATAAAGTATAATTGACAGAAAAATCACTTTTCCATTATTTTATTTCATTTGAGCTAATGAAGCTTTCTTTCAATATGATAAGAAATGCAAATATTAGTTCCAAATATTTCAATTTTAGAATCAAACAAGCACAAACACTTACTAAACCTGATGGTATAGCTATTAAGTTTGACAGTATGCAAGAGGTTTGCTTGCCAATAACTATATCATTTTATTCCATTCTTACCACTCTTTTCTAATAGAATATCAAGATCTCTTGCCAAAAATTAATCATGTATCACCTTCAAAGGACTGGAACTGTCTTCAAGTGGGTTCTCTTATTTTTACTTCTTTAGTCATACTGACAATTTTTTACTTTGTAAAAACCATATATGCTAGTATCATGAGTTTTTTCGTTGAAACTTGTTTGGGTTTATTTTGGCTCAATAGAAAGCATATAATGGAATATTATAGAAATGTATGACAGATTTTAATTCAAATAAAACTATTGTCAATTATCATATGGAGACACTATTGAAAAAACTCCGTGGGTTCTTTTTGCGTTTCTGGATTACGTTAAGAAAATTACTTCGTGGGTTCGTTATATGTCCTGTTGGATGGATTTATTGCGCTAACCCTTACTAATATTATGATATTATTAATGCATATCTCTTAAATCGTTATATATGCAACATTTCCCAGCAATTTTCCGTTATTTTATTATGATGAAATAGCATTAAAGAACATAAATCTTTGGATGTTCGAAAAAAGAGAGATATACGGGCGGGTATATTCCGTAGTCAATAATCGTGTATATTAAATATATAGTAACAGATTCCCTAGGGAATCAACGCCCGATCTTTGTATTTTATTTCTGCATAATAAAAAATTCTACGTGATTTTGTATTTACATCTGCTAAATTACTTTTAATGCTATTAATAAGTAAGGGTGAGTTACTTTTATCATGTAATTTTCCAACACATATTGCGAGGATTAATCCGGTGCTCCTGATTTGCGTGTACCGAAAATCGTGAGGAACGAAAATGGATGGATAAGCAGATCGCCACGGAATAATTTTTATTACCTATTAGCGTTAGCCAAAGACGCGTAATCCCTAATTAATATTGTTAACTGAGTTAATCACGAAAATTTTCCCCAAAGATCTTAGACCCACTGCAAATTGTATAAAACGGGGATGTCCCTGTTAGTGAATCCTTTTATCCGCCTTGCGCAAGTAAAGCAAAAAAAATTCAAACCAATCAAACTTACCATTATTAAAATCATTGATATGATAGCATCATGTATTTCTCTTGCTACTCTATTGTTTTCTGATTAGCTAGTATGATAGATCAATAATAACGTGAATTTTTGTCAGTCTGACTGATTTGTGTGACAATAGATAAATAATTAATGTGTACCAAAATCCAAATTTTTTTTTTCTTTCTGATAGATTCTAAAATAAATATGTCTGATATTCACTCATTTAAAACAGTTGAAAGTTGGAGCGTAGATTATGTCAGAAAATTTTTAAATCTTAATAAAGAGGATTTCTCTCTTAACGATGATGAAATTCGTAAACTTAAAGAGCTTGGCATCAACGGTAGGGCGCTCCTTAGGTATACCGAAAAAAAGCTTATGGATGATGGTTTAAGAAGAGGACCAGCCTGTAACCTTGCGGATTATATAATTCGGTTAAATCGAAAGGGTAAGTTCTATAATAAAATAGTTTAACTTTACTGATAATACCGAATACCTACTTAATCTTGTCTTTTCTTTCCTGCTTCTTATCATCAAACCCAAACAACATTATGTTTACATAGAACAACCCATTATCTCCACTGTTGCCACCGGTAAGTGAGGCGTAACAATCAGTGAAACACAATATGGTTTACTTTTTATACCCTTTGTTTCATTAGTCAACTTTATTGGTTTTATTATACTTATGAAGGAATCTCTTTTCTTGTAGCAAGAACTCCAAAACCTACATACGATTCTGTCTCCATTTATATTGATAATTCTAACCTATTCATTGAGGGCTCGAAAGTCGTTAGTTACCTTGAAAAAGTGAATGCCTTTGACCATAAGAAATCAGATTTCCTCGATTTTTATATAGATCATGGTCTACTTGTCACAACAATTTTAAAAGGACGAAAATTGAACAAGACCTTTATTATCGGCTCTATTCCACCACGTAATGATACGATATGGGCCCGAGCGAGGGATCATGGGTGTGAAGTAAAAACTTACCCACGAAACTCTTCAAGCAAAGAGAAAAAAGTTTACACAGAACTCGTTTGCGACGGAATGGAATCCTTATTAACTGAGAATCCGGGTACGTTATTGCTAGTTTCTGGTGATGCAGACTATTGTCCCTTAATGGTGAGAGCCCAAAAAAAAAATTGGAAAATCGAAACGCGGTTTTGGTCTGGATTACTGGTTAAGGATGATTATCCGTTTACCACACCTATGGCAAATGATCTTAGAAAGTTTTCGTTATATGAACCGCTGGATAATTACTACCGGCTATTCACATATATAACAGGACCTGATTTTACGAATAAAAAACATCATCTTGAGATCAGC